TTCAAACTTTTGCATTTAAAACCATAAATCACCTAGAGCTTCTTCCTCTATCCATTAATAATAAATAAGCACGGACTTCCGAAAACAATTTTTGGTAGGGTTTTACCATCTTAGGTTCTCTTGTGAAAGCATCAGCAATGCTCATCAAACTGGTCTCACGAAGTGCTGTCGATATTTGTGAAATGGTCTTGCGGCGTGTTTAATGGTTCGCTCTGAAACTCGCTCATCGCCATTATGTGAGTCATTTTTCTTTTCATATTGACGTTAAAACAATTTTAACGATAATTCTGTGTTACGAATTTCGCGGGCAATTAAATTCGAAATATTATTAATACGATGCCGCAGTGCTAGATTATGTTGCGGCCCTGTTTAAGATTCGATCATTCAAGCTCCCTGTCAACCGACTGATGTCGAGACGACTTAAAAGCCGGAACCCTGCATCTTTGGCCATATGAAATTGGAGTATATGAGCAGTCTCAGTTAAATTATGCAAGCGTATCGGTATTTGAAAACATCAGCAGCTTATGACAGTGGTTCAAGGAAGGCAGCTTCGGGACATTGACCAATCAGCTTCGAAAGGAAGGTAAGGATGGTATGCAATGGACCACGTGACCAACAGTTTGTGGAACTGTAATTTGTTGGCTAATTGCCTTATCCGTTAAATTGCTTGCATATATGCACGTAAACTGACTTACTGTGCTTGCAGATTGGGCAAATCGAAGAAGTCATACAATATTGAACCTCTTCACCGAAGAATATTTCTTTTCCGGTATTACTCGTCGTGTTGTAGTAGAAATTAAGTCAGACCTTATTATTACAATTCTAAATCTGACTGATCGATTTACCATTGTTCAGCAAGCTGTTTGCTTTGAGATTCTCTAGTGATTTCAGAAATTAGTAAGAATCAGGATTCCGACCAGGTTTCTATTATGACATAACGTAACAGATTTGCCAAAGGGGTGGCGAAGAGATCCAAGATATGAATTCTTCGGTATGTCTTATCCGTCAATTCATATGCGGATATGGATATGGATTTGTCTTTCGACTGCATCCGCGACACAGTGATCAGACAGCGTACGGTAGTCGAAAACAGAAGGAAGAATCTGCAATGGATCGGGCAAGCAGTCGGGTGAGGGTCGGCGATTATGACCGACTGGAACCATCATCCGGGACTAGTCCGTTTGGATGCCTATCATTACAACAGGAAGATCATATCAGGAGTCAAGAAAGTCGCACTATCAGAGCGAGATAGAAGACTCGAAACCCTGGGAATGGCGGGTGTGTTGCGGCTTGGGTGATTCGTCACCGAGTAGCGGTTGGTTCACGTGATGTTATCCGGGACAGCGGATTCCTGCAACAACGAATCAACTGTGCAAAATCAGTAGAAGAGCAAAAATGGCACTGAGCATTTGTGAAAGATCGAAAATGTCCCAGCCCAAGAAACAGTTCTTGTGTTTTAGGCGGAAGGTCTTCGATCAGCGCTTGTCCCCCATGTCAAGATACGGATGTGAGACAGATACTCAAAATATGAAAACTTCTAATTAACTACAGGTGAACAACGCAGCACAGAAATGTGTAAGTTTAGAATCATACAAAATGATTCGAAGTAGAAAATGGGTTTGAGCACAAACAGAGCCTGTGATCTCACTGCATCAGCAAAACCGTTGAAGTGACAATGGGCAATATATTAAAAGAACAACCGACCATCTTGAGACCAGTGAGCTAGACGGGCACTATGAGTGAATAAACGGCCTGTATGAGGATCTCAAGCCAAATGGCAAAGCGAGATCAAGATATTTATCTGATCCATGTAGACAAAAATGGCGGCAGGCAGAATTTTGTCGAAGAATCTTAAATAAAGGGCCTCGTTCGGCAGTAATTTAGGAACACACTGAAGACTATGTGTATTGACTGAGGGATGATGAGTGAAAGTTGAACAATTCGAAGAACTAACATCTTTGAGTGGTTTCGTCGAACAATGTGTTCTTATGTCATTGCATTTGCTTATCGTCGGTGTCCACAGAGACGTTCCACCTGGATCGAATTACTGCAAGTTCACTCTTCATTCTTTTTACTGTCATCTTGGTGTTAGTAACATTTTCCCGTTTTGTTAGAGGTTCTTCTGGCGGTCGCCTGCCATCAGGCTTCGCCCTCGGTGTTCATTTCGAAAGGTGGCCATCGCCCATTCGTCGGCAGTTGCCCAAGCATTTTAATCGCGTTGTGTACAGCCAGTAGATGGCTTTACTTGGATATTCTAATCCTTCTCTCATAACAGTGTCTGGCACCATGTCATACCACTTCACTCTAAATATTGATCGTTAAGTCTTCGTTTCCGTCGCTTTCAGTATCAATGCATCCGTTTTCATATTATGAAGCAAGACTTTCAGAATGCAAGCAGTGTATACCCACAGCTTGGTGACTCGGTAAACATCTTTGTCCGTCTTGAGCTTGAATTACTGCTCTCTGCTAATGCCAACCTACAGAGCTTGTTGACTTTTACAGCAAATGAGCTCTCAAGACACAAACATTCTGCAACATTTTTCACAATATCAGTCAGACCGTCTTTTGCCTGGATTCTAACAATTTTTGAAGAATATTACCTTTTGAATATGATTAATTCATACTTAACTTTTCATATGATTACTTTCATGCATGCATATGTGTGTAATTCTGAAGTTACTAGAAAAACACAAAGTAAACGGTTTGCTGGATACAAAGTATCATGCCGGTCAATGGCCGATTTACGTGTCGACTGTTCTTCCGGGCCAACTAATTATTAGCAGTTATCGCCTGACCTCCGACATGAGGCATCTTAAATCAAGTTGAAAGTTTATCAACGCACTTTTCTTTCCTCTGAATCTGTTCCTGCCATTCTCTGTAGCAGCATCAGCAGAATCTGTCCCAACCACTATAGCTGCTACTTGGAAATGGTGAGAAATAATGGTTGAGTTCCAAAGGTACCCCGAATCACTTAGCTAAAGACTCTATCGAGGTACACGTAAGCCCTGCGATTTGCCTCATGTAGCCCATTACTGGCGGTTTACACCCGCAAGTGTGTTTTACCAGTCATTGTCGATGACTCATTAACATGAATCGTTATATGAACGAAAAACGACTTGAACGTTGACAGTTTTGTCTTCAGACTCACTTTAGTATTGGCTGAATGACAGAGTAGCAGTAGTTCACAGACAGTTATGCTAGCCGTTTCCACCTGCCGGTCGATATCTTGTCCTACAAGGAGAAACAAGATGATAAATTCAACTGAATTTTCCTCAGATGAAATGAAAGGAGAAGGAAATGATGCATTATATGAGGATGACCTGGGTACCGGAGTCGAGGTTCACAATGCGAACTCTTGTCTCGATGCATCATGATCTGAGGCAAGGGGTACACCGAACGCCAGATGGTTGAAATAAACCGAGCGTGCCGTTGTCGTGAGTTCGAATCCGGCATTTAGAGCCTACCTGGTTGCCGGAAACCCAGACCACTGAAAAGCCTCTTGTGACTGCTGTTCTTTCCCTAAAGCAATAGTGGCATCTGAATATGGCTGGATGGATAACATATCATTTGAAAGCTTCGGTTTATATCCAAAAGACCTCAGGATGGGGACTCTCTACCGCACAGATCTTGTCTTGAGTTCCTCAGGAAGTCAATAGCTTTTGATGATTTAGCAAACAAACAAAACTTCGACTGTGGCTAATAGGAAGCAGGCAGCAGTAATTCGATAAATATAGGATACAAGGGCACATTTAAGTGTTAATTATTGAGAGAAATTTAGACGTGTTCCCTGTTAAGAAATTCATAAGGTTATTTCTTTTCTAAAATCACCTTATTAACATGTCTTGTTGTGCTACGGTTTCTCGCTATGCATTTTTCTTACTGTTTTATAATTATCTCCTCATCTTGCTAGTCATTCATCGTTGAATCAGGCCTAATGTCGTTCAGTGTTCCTCAATTATGAACCCTATTCATTAGGACCATGAAAGGTTAATTAACGTTTTTGTTGTAAGTCAACAACTGGAAAATTTTAGATTCGATGTGCATGATTTATCACTGAAATTTTTGTAAACAAAAGTATGTTTCTGATAATCGCAAATACAACGCGTTACCCTCCATTCATACTTTCAAGCTAAATAAATGAATGCTTGTTCCATCTGCAGTCTTAAACAAGTTTACGAGCCAATTTTCCGTCGTCAAAAGGAAATGCTGAATGGCGATTAGGTGTGATATTTTTGCACCGATTTGCTGCTGTCGAATACTGCAGCCAGGTCGTTTTGCTTCAGTTGTTCAACTGGCTTCTAATCTGTCGTTTGCAACTGCTGATACAACTGATGACGTCTGTTATTCACTTCATTATAATTAGCCAATATTAATTGCGAACTGGCATCAGCTCTCGCGGTCACTTCAAACGGAGCATTGTTGACGCGCAGCTTGTAGTCTTTGGCTTCCAGAAAACAGACAACGTTAGCTAAGTTTCTCAGCCGCAGCTTGGAGGCAAAATAGTGAAATGAATACCGGCACTAAGATCACTTACATCTAAAGCGAGTATTTTCGCTCTACCTCTGCGAAAGCTACTGTATCCCATCGGGGGACTTTACGGGAAACATATGTTCGGTGACAAACCGGGAAGTGACCGACCGACGTTCATCTGGACTGCATCGATTTGTGGACGAATTCGATTACGCTCAATTATCACTGGAGCTGTGCATGAGCCCGTCAAAGAATTGTACCACCGCTTCCTCTAAGTGAAATTGACTCCGACGATCCCCGGCCAACAGTGACGTGAGGCTAATTTGACTTGTGCCTGCGAATACTCTCGCTAAATCTACATGATTACCGTCGGCGAACGAATGGCGATGGAGGTTCAGCTGCGAATTAACACGGAATCCAATTTGGCAACCGACCAGCTTCAGAACTGATCGACCGGTTGCCAGACCACACTCTAGTCGGCGGACGATGATGCCACGTGCATCGAAAACATTGCTGACCTTTGGCGCAGGTTCCGAAGCTGCATCTACGAAAGAAGCGTTCTCACAGGTAAATAACCTCTCTTCCGGTTTGGCCATTGGAGACATCGGTCAATGAACGTCTTCTTGGCCATTGCTTAACTGACCCTTGCACGCGTTACTCTTTGCAAGTCTTTAGGTGACGAATTTGCACGCCTCGTTCCCATTGAGTCGTTCAACGAACTTCATTCACTGGTAAAGCACGAGAGGATATTTTACACTACCTCCTTTGATAGGCGTGCAAATCAAGGATGTCCTTTATCCAACTTGCCTTCGTTACGGGTACGGTATGAACCAAAGTCGATGCTACTCCGAGATTCTGTGCTCCCTGCTTTCTTCGTCCATCGCTGATCATGAAAATTGACCATCGGATGGTCAGAGTATTCTCTGACGACAAAGGTGACGTTTGTGGTCCAGCGAATATTATGTAAACCTATGAACTAAAATGGAAAGCGTAAACTCTGTTCCATGCTACCTTCCTCGACTTACTCAGTGGTTAAAAGACGCTTAGTGCTAAAGTGTATATGACATAACAGAAATCCCACACATCTAACATGAACTCTACAGCGAGGCAATCGACAGTTAGCATAGCCTCCAGTGGCATTCGCAGAGACAGAGGTCACTGATCAATTCTTGGTGACGCACTGCCCTTTAATAAGACTATCTTGAAAATTCTCTTCCCCTTTAATCTACTATATTGTATCTATTACGAAACATTTTTTTTCGTATTCTCTCATACAAAGGAGATATTAAGAGAAGTCAATGATTAAGCATAGTCAATTTTTTGTGCCAATTTTTTGCACAAAGTCCTCTATGGAAAAATGCAGCTTTCTATATTTTCCTGATAGGATTTTGTGAGCTTTAAATGATCCTAACTGATTTCGGAATATGGCCATTTGTGGAGTTGGTTGCTGCTGTAGCTCGCTGATATGACTGCCTCGATAATATTACCTACCTGCCTTTCTTATCACATAATATCATATGCATTATATGCCCAAATGTTTCTCCTTGTCTCCACTCCTTTCTCTTCCTCTGCCTTACCTCTGCCACTCCTTTTCTTTCTCCTCTCATATTTTACTTCTCCTTCTCTTTCTCTCCCTTCTTCAGCTTATCTTTT